GGGATGTCCTGATCGCACAACAGGTCCTATTTTTGAGTCTAATCCTGTTAATAGACAATTTAAAGTCATTTCGATGAGGGAACTTTGAGCAGATTTTTGCTTGCGATTTAGATTTTGCCTATTCACGGCGGAATGCATTTTGGCTGCATGCGTCTGCAGTCTAGATGCAAAGGTTAGGGGTGATTCGTTGAGGAGTTGGCGCATGTGTTGAAGATCCGCGATTAAAGATCTGAGATCTCTAAGGTCTCCAAAGTGCGTTTCTAACAGGGACCGTATGTCTTCCCACGTGGAAGGGTTTCGGCTGTTCACAAGTTGGGCGGCACGTCCGCGAAGTTTGTTTTTAATATGTAAAACGACGAGAAGCCGCTGCTCCTCGACGGCCATTTGATATGCCGTTCGGCACGCGTTGATGAAGGTCGATAGCAATATCGGGTTTCCATCGTACTCGGGTACAATCGAAAATATTTCAGATAATCTATAAGGTTCAATGTTCGCATGAACGTTATCAGGAATTTCAGCTGGTTGGTAATCATCTGAACCGTTAGTAGACATTTTAAATGGAAAGTTGTTTCAAAAAGATTCAATAATGTCAAGGGTAAACGCAAAAATATATAAATGTAAAATATATCGACAATATATAGAGTAAATGCGCAAAAATGCAAATAAAAGATGTAAAAATCACACACACAGAGATAAATCGCAAAAAATAGTTAGATTGAAATTGTACGTTACCAAGGGTACATCGGGAGGCAGTCGTGTTCTCCAGGCGGCTAGTGGATCTCTTGCGATGTTTCCAGTAGTCTGTCTACAGTAGGGTGGCTGCTGCTCGCTGTATCCCCTGTTGTTTTCCTTCTTCTTGTTGCTTTGTAGTTTCTTACTTGTAGTTTTCCTACTTGTAGGTTTCTTTCTTCAATGGGTTTCTATCTTCTTAAGGCTCGTTGGTCCTTTTCAGCTTAAAGGATGGGCATCCACCGCACCAGTTAGTATGTACGTGTTCTAATGCGTTGAAGTTATCCCACTTCTGACACCAATTTCTTAAATCATTAGATTTAGAAATAACTTTTAAAAAAATTTTATTTGAGGACTGAAGCTTCAGTCCATATAAAATACAAAGGTTTACAAATGTGACATTTACGGAGTCTAACCGGGTATTGAACAACAGGATATGGCCGCGAGGCCTATTTATACATTCGGAAAGCTGACTAAGAATTAGTGGAAAACAGCAAAGGCTATTCTAGCAACGGATTAGCGAGAAGTTGTTATCATATGCTGACACAGCGTCTGGTGCAACATTGTATAATAACTGCGTAGTTACTATGGCCATATAACATTATATACAGGGTGTTCCATAATTATTGCGACAAAATGATAGGGGTTGTAGAGGGCATCAAAATGAACAATTTTTCCTTATAAACCCCTGTTCGGAAATATGCCGTTTGGGCTGCAGCAAAAAAAAAGATCAGTTTCTTGAAACAGCTTACCTACAGTAATTGCTCAAAGTGTCCTCCACCTTGCTCAATACACAGCTGTGCACGATTGTTCAATGATCGGCGAACTCTGTGGCATACCCCCGGTATGTCCTGAACATGTGCGGACGCGGCCATCACTCTTCCCAGTAGCTCTTGTTGGTTGGGAACAGGAGTTTCGTACACTAAAGCTTTCAGATAGCTCCAGATAAAATAATCCAGTGGGGTCAGGTCAAGTGACCGCGCAGGCCAAGGCACAGGGCCACCTCGGCCTATCCACCTATTTGGAAATTTGTCGTCCAAATACTGCCGCACTTGTAAAGAAAAGTGGGCTGGACCGCCATGGTGTTGAAACCACATGTTGGCTCTTATATTCAGTGGCACATTTTGTAATAGTTTCGGTAGCACATGCTGTAAGGCTCGACCATAAGCATGCCCATCCAAACGTGGTGGAAGCAGATATGGCCCGATGATATGCTCGTCCACAATGCCGCACCAGATGTTAATTGAAAACTGATGTTGGTCTCTATGGATGGCTATGGCATGAGGGTTTTCTTCATCCCAAATGTGACTGTTATGGCTATTAAAATAACCGTCCTTTGTAAAACAGGACTCGTCAGTGAACAAAACTTAGCGACCAAAGTTTGGTTGCCTCAACTCCTGCTGCAGCCACCAACGACAAAAACGTCGACGCGGCAGATAGTCTGCTGGACCCATGGCTTGGACTTTTAAAAGGTGGTACGGGTGTACGATAACAAAAATGTAAACACAGCAGGCTTTTTTTACAAACCGGTGAGACCATGAAATGTGCTAGACGAACATTTTGCAGCTGGTGAATTTTTTGTTTCTCCTATGAGCTCTTAAGGTAAAATTAACTGTAGTGCTCAAACGGCATATTTACGAACAGGGGTTTATAAGGCAAAATTGCATATTTTTATGCCCTCTATAACCCCTATCATTTTGTCGCAATAATTATGGAACACCCTGTATATATATATATAGGGTGTTCCATAATTATTGCGACAAAATGATAGGGGTTGTGGAGGGCATCAAAATGAACAATTTTGCCTTATAAACCCCTGTTCGGAAATATGCCGTTTGGGCTGCAGCAAAAAAACAGCTTACCTACAGTAATTGCTCAAAGTGTCCTCCACCTTGCTCAATACACAGCTGTGCACGATTGTTCAATGATCGGCGAACTCTGTGGCATACCCCTGGTATGTCCTGAACATGTGCGAACGCGGCCATCAGTAGCTCTTGTTGGTTGGAACAGGAGTTTCGTAAACTAAAGCTTTCAGATGGCCCCAGAGAAAATAATCCTCTGGGGTCAGGTCGGGTGTCCGCGCAGGCCAAGGCACAGGGCCACCTCGGCCTATCCACCTATTTGGAAATTTGTCGTCCAAATACTGCCGCACTTGTAAAGAAAAGTGGGCTGGAGCGCCATCGTGTTGAAACCACATGTTGGCTCTTATGTTCAGTGGCACATTTTCTAACAGTTCCGGTACCACATGCTGTAAGAATCGACCATGAGCATGCCCATCCAAACGTGGTGGAAGCAAATATGGCCCGATGATATGCTCGTCCACAATGCCGCACCAGATGTTAATTGAAAACTGATGTGGGTCTCTATGGATGGCTATGGCATGAGGGTTTTCTTCATCCCAAATGTGACTGTTACGGCTATTAAAATAACCGTCCTTTGTAAAACAGGACTCGTCAGTGAACAAAACGTAGCGATCAAAGTTTGGTTGCATCAACTCCTGCTGCAGCCACCAACGACAAAAACGTCAACGCGGCAGATAGTCTTCTGGACCCATGGCTTGGGCTTTTAAAAGGTGGCATGGGTGTAGTTGCTGGTCATGGAGAACCCGCCAAACAGTAGTTTGAGACGCTCCCATATCATGTGTAATAGCACGCACGCTTGTACGCGGATTGGCTCCCGCGAGGTGTCTGATGCTGCCACTGACACGAAGATGTCCCTGAATCCTTGCAAAAATGGCGTGATGCGGATGAGGACGTTCTGGAAACCGTTGGGCGTAGATTCGCGAAGGTCGTCTTCCGTTACCACTAGCTTCTCCGTAAATTAAATGCATATCCGCAAGTTCCGAATACGAATAACGCTGCATTTTAACACTAAGGTACTGTTATTTACAATCTAGTTTGACGCACCACTCAGATAAATTAAATGAATCGGTGTAGAGAATTTACGATAACAAAAATGTAAACACAGCAGGCTTTTTTTTACAAACCGGCGAAACCATGAAATGTGCTAGACGAACATTTTGCAGCTGGTGAATTTTTTGTTTCTCCTATGAGCTCTTAAGGTAAAATTAGCGGTATATTTACGAACAGGGGTTTATAAGGCAAAATTGCATATTTTTATGCCCTCAACAACCCCTATCATTTTGTCGCAATAATGTATATATATGGTTGACCAAGGTTTCTACACTTTTTTTCGATATTTCGTTTCCATTTTGTCTCGTCTGCTTTATTCCACCGACTTCTTTTTTGCGAATTTCCACTCGTCGGTTCTAGAACCGCAACGTTAGTTATATCTTGAACAAATAATACCTATATTATCAGATGTTACCTGTGAACTCTTCATTTGGATCATAATCTTGGTCTTGGTCATCGCTTGTTTCAAATGGATCTTCCTCAACTCTTTCTGTGACAGACTCTTCTTTGTCATTCCCATAAGTACAATGTCCTTCTATTTCCTTGGACTCAAGATATTTATCTTGGCCAACATTACTTTCTGCTTGATGCAACTTTCTTTCATCGGAGGCCTGAATATACAAATTTTATCATTTTGAATCAAGGCTCTTTCAATCGTGAAAAAGCATCACTCACCTGTTTTTGAAGATTCGATACTTCGGCGGTTATTCCTGGGGAATGTAATGATTCCTCATGCCATGTTAAAACAGAGTGCACGATAATCTTATTTTCTTTAGATATCGCACGTCTGCCAAGTTCCAAAATGCGCTTAGCCCTACTCTTCTGCATATTACTTTGTAAGTACCCGAATATCTATTAACAAAACTCAAACTAAACTGATTCAACCACGTGTTGCCGGTAAGTTTATCCACAATTTCTAAGATTGTAGGTTTGGTACATGATATGCAATAGTTGTTTGATATTTCGAGTCGAATCTCACCCAGTCTTACGTGGGGGCGTCTGAGTAAATATCACGTATTTTTCGCTTAGGTGTACAATTTCAAGATAATTGGGTTAAAGGAAAACATGCTTCTTGATTGAAATTGGCGAAATCTGACTCATTAATATTTATCATACTCAAATACTGCTAACTAATCTTGAATAAAAATAATGAGGCTAATTATATTTTTTAAAATAAATTCAACACATTTACATTAAACATAGATATTTTGTAACGCCCTCTTAATTTTTTAATAAATTTGGTTAATTTTGTAATAAATATTTTGGCATATTTTCTATTAAGATTATTTTTTATTTCAATTTGGCGAGAGTCACTAACCGCCATTATAAAATCCAGTTGTCTATACGAGTATATTACAGTTTCTATAGGTATGGTCCCCGCTATCCAGCACCAGGCTTCAGTTATCCTGACAATCCTCCCATACAACCTTGGATGATGCAAATGCCATGGAGCAGCATGAAATTCAGATCACAGGTAAGCTGTAGTAGTCTCAATTTAATAATAGCTGAAAAGTTTATGCAAAAAAGTGCTCCCCTCACTGACAAGACGCCTGGTGGGCGACATTTTTCCGTTTCTTCGAAGCGAACTGTCATTTGTACATCCTTAGAAAGTTAGTTTCTCTCTGCTAATGTAGATGCAGCACACAGTATAAGAGAGGCTGCTGGTCGCGGCGGAGTACGCTGACGTGCTTACGCAGAATATACATTGAACGCAGTGTTATCAGGTCTACCGATTTTTAGAGTACTTCCCTATTTTTCAATTATTACCTCGCTTATATCTGAAAAAGTATCAACCTAATAGAAAAGTTAATAAGAATCTTTTTCGTTCATGCTGCCGAAAAAATCTAAAAAAAACTTGGTATGGAATAAAAATAATTTAAGGAATTTGAAAAAATTGTTTAAATAATTTTATACGCAATTTTGGGCCAGGTAACATGCAGGTTCGTTGAAAAGGGTTCTTTATGAATCAGTTCGAATGTAAAAAACAGAATAAGAATGTTTTTTCTATTTTTTATTATTTTTGTTTGCAGTACAACCCGGGCATGGGACCAGCATATCACCAACAAGCTCTATATCATCCGCAAGGATCATACCAGCAACAGTAGCCGCCTAACGCCTCTCTCCGACCTCCAGGGTTTTATCCACCCCTAACTCTCCCAAGTAAACCACCTTGATACCTCAACGCCTACAATTACACCGTGTCCACCACCTTCAGCGAGCGATTTTTACGAAGCTTACAACCAACAGTTAAAGCAACAGTTCTCGTCGAAGGAAGCACTAGCGCGTTATCGATAAGCGAGTAGAATAGGGTTTTATTTTGGCGAAACTGGTGTTGCACTGTTATGTTTATGTTCTTTTGGTGCGTGCTTTGAATTAGTTAATGCAAAAATATCGCACGAACTGGACGAGCTCGTTCTAGTGTAGTCAACTGGCAACAGTGTCTCATTTCTCAGCTTTGACTTGTGGCTCTGTAAGCAACCATGCTTTGCAGCCAGTTTTCTCGTGTTTTTTTTCTCATGGAGCCTGTATACCAAGAAAAACTACGGTCAATGCTGCTCGTGTTGTAAAAATGACCTCAAAACTTGACGCCTGGAGTACTTGTGGTGCTTTGACAGTGCTGCCATGTTGTAGGATCTTTCCCCAATCTTGGGGAACTCTTACTTGGTGAATTTTTTGGGGATATAATGTTCTGGGGGAGATCAGATGTTTCGCCCATAGAAGCATCCACCAGCTCTTTGAACCAAATCTACCCCTTTCATAATTAACTGTGATTAGTGGATTTTTTTTTAGGAGAAATTCAATCCAACGCATCTGGCTACTCTGTGCTTTGACAGATCCGCGATATGAACACCTTTCTCCTGTTATATAGTTTCCATAGCCTTTTCTCGGAACCTATGTACCAGGAGAACCGTCGAAATGAGGAAAAAAGACCCCAAAACTTGACGCTTGACTGAGGGCGCCGTGATCGAAGCGAATACCAGCTACTGTTTTTAAACCTGTTTTTTACGTATGAATAATAATACTAGAGCATATTACAGCAGCATTTCCTTTGTCAGGTTATCTAGTCTACTATTATTTATCATTAAAGTTTTATCAAAAAACAGAAACATGTAGATTCAAATGGGCGGACCTTAGACAAAAGTGTCCCCCAAATTAAACGTAAATAATGGAAAGGGGTATGTTTGGTTCAAAAAGCGGGGAGGGGGGATTTCAACCAGAACATTATATCCCCAAAATATTCTCCATGTGAAAATCTTCCAGATTTGGGGAAAATCCTCCAACATGGAAACCCTGTCAAAGCACCACTGGTGCTCCAGGCGTCAAGTTTCGCGGTCGTTTTCATAGCATGGACAGCATTGCCGTAGTTTCTCCCGGTATATCGGCTCCATGGACAAAGAAATGAAATAATATTTTTCATTGGCAGATGACGGCACGAGACCAGAAATGACACACCTTCTTTTGGGGACAAATTTAGGATAAACTGGGCAGAGCGTTTCAAACGCGGAAAAGGCACCAGCTTTAAAAAAAGGAGGTATTTACAAGTTCTAGGATCGAGTGTTTGTGTTCACGTGGGAATAAATGAGATTTGAATTGAGTTTTTTTGCATTGTATGGTTGAAGTTTAGGTCCACAGTGTTAGGGCAATCAGACTGATAGATAGTTTATTCTGTTATTGGAGTGTTTATTTGACATTTTTGGTTGCCGCATGCTAAAATTTTTCTTGAAATGAAGAAAGCCGTGTTCCTTACTGACAAGCTAATATTTAAGGAGGTGGTTCTTGGAAAAAAATCATATGAACGTATGTCCCAAATGTCTTAAATGTCTTAACCTTTGAGATACAGATTTTTTCTGAAAACTTTACCACCCTTTATCTCAAAGGTCAAGACGTTTAGGATCATACGGTCATGTGAATTTTTTTCTTAAAAGAGGCCTACGACTCACTTTCTTAAATATTACCATGTGATTAAGGAACTATCTGTGTTTAAAAAAAATATTTCGATTTAAAAAAATATTTCGATCGTGCAATCATATTGACGACTAGGAAAGCTCTTTTTTGTTATTAAAGCAGTAGTAGACGGTTGACTGTATCTTGAATGATACACAAAATAAAGTTTGATTACTGCAAACATAGAAGCAAAATTTGTGTTTTTATATATTAGAAATGTGAGTTTCCGTGTTTGTTTATAATATAAGAATTGTTTTTATTATGGTTCTTTTGTGCCTATTTTGTATATTATTACTGAAAACTGCTAGTTATTTATTTTCGATCTGTATGTTCCGCATCGTTACATTATTTTAAGCGTTTCTTTTGTATGTTTAAATACATTTTTTTTTGTATGATGTAAATAAGAATATATTGTTTTGTGAAATGGTTCTTTTGTTTTTGGAAAATGACATCCTATTGCGCACCAAGTCAATGATTTTCATAATATAAAAGTCGGGGAAGCAAAAGGTGGACAAGGATTGCTTGGAATTGCCGGGATTAAACACTCTGAAAAAAAAATCGAGTTTTTTCGCATAGATGATTTCAGGAGATTAAAAAAATACTCTGCGCGCCAAACTTGGGTCGAATACTGAAATCCGGTATTCTAATATGAATCCCGAACACTTTATTATATTATATCATATACTGAAGATTTGAATACAAAGACAAAAAGTATACGAATATCGCTATTTTGAATACTCAAGTTATAAAAATATATAAAAAATTAAAAATACATGACTAGATTGAATAAAATGTAAAACAACATTTGATACACAGTGTCACAGCGAGATTGGACAAATTAATTGTATAATAAAAAACAATCCTTGATTTTTATCGTTTTTTCTAGAAACTTATAGAAAGAAACTGGATAAGAAAATATATGAATCTTACACAGGGCACCTACAAAATTAAAAAATAGACTTGCGTTTTTATACAGGGTGTAAAGTGGGAAAGTTCACTTTCAAAATTTGATATACGCGGCAACCGTATACGCGAGGAAGTGGGGAAAGGTGATCGATGCGTTCAGTGTGCGGGTTAAATAGTCAATGGAACGTCGGACCGGAGCGCAACGTGCATTTGCTATCGAGGCTCACTTTAAGAGTGGTGATTCATACGCAGCTGTCATTCTGAAATTTTGTACACGATACAACATTCGCCGACCAAGAGATGCAAGAACCTATTAAAAAAGTGGATTAAGAGGTTCCGTGAAAGAGGCTTAGTCAGGCTCTTAGTAGCCCATTCCTGGCCCCACATCTACTGGATCAACCGAAGAAAATGTGCGTCGAGTAAGAGATTCGGTCATTGCAAGTCCTCGGCGTTATCTACGGAAACATTCCGCTGCTTGGGGAATCACTAGGTCAATATTGCATGGCATAATGAAGAAAAAAATGGGTTTTCATACTTATAAAATTCAATCAATCCATGCTTTAAAGCAGGGCTCTCCAACTTAATGTGGCCCAAGGGCCACTTCCAAAAAAATGCAGTTTGGAGGGCCGCATTATAAAATCTTTCTATACAACATTATTACTGAGTTTTAATAGGTATATGCTATACTATATGGTATACATATATGTATACATGACCCGTGAAGCGGGCCGCAAGAAAGGAGTATGTTAGACAGCCCTGCTTTAAAGGAAAGTGATTACGTATTACCGAAATCTTGTGCTGGACGGAGACTAACGCCAATTATGACAAAATAGCAGAACAATAAAATATATTAAGAAATCTACTCTGAAAAGAGTTCGAGAGTTTGGTTCCGTTACTGTCTTGTAGATGACGCTACGATGTTCGACCCCTTTTTTGTTAACTATCCAGTGCCTACTTTATCGGGTATCTTCAGGCATTGATTAACATATCCCTCTTAAAATATGCATTTCTTCCTTTTGTGAAGCTGTCCCAACACAGTCTTCGATGAAACTGCAGCCTATTGGGCTTATTGCACCTTGCTCCTTAAATTTACAGTACCCAGTCCAGCAGTCCAGTATATTGTACCAGTTGATACAGTTTTTCTGCCGGTACTGTTATCACATCAAAATTACATTTTGCTGTGTTCCGCCAGTGCCTTCAGTTCTTGTTGCCATTCTCAAATCAGTGCAGTTGTTTCTCTAGGACTTAACGCTTTGAGTGACGCCTGACCCTCAATATATACGGCGATTCTTTTATTATTGTACAAAAAAATAATACATAAATTAGGCATTCAAACGGATTGAAGCGCCTTCTAATGGGACAGCAGCAAACTCAAACACTCTAACGCTTGTCAAAGTAGATTGTTGAATTGATTTTTGTACTCTGCCAGTGTCTCACAGATTGTGGTAGGATCTTTCAGATTACCTCAGATAGAATACGCAAAAATCGACCATCTTAATACCCATTCCATGTAATTGCAAACTTCTCTGTCTGAATTCTTCAGTCAGGTCTATATTGACTGGGCGGGCCTTCGGCGATTTAGCTCTCTTCTACAGCTACGCCGACAGGTTTTGCTCCTCAGACCTCCCCTCCGTAATACCGCCACCCGATGCGACTGCCAGACAGACCATCCTGACTCCGGCCTCCTATCACTACCCTGTCGAACTTTTTACATCCAGAACTGGCCGATACGACCGTTCCTTTGTCCCTAGGGGAACGAGATTGTGGAACAGTCTACCCGAGGAGGCTATCCCCAGTTCTAATAACCTTGGGCAGTTCAAAAAATGGATAAACAAGCTTATTTAAGTGCACCTCAGCTGCTAAGACTAGGTATTAGGCTTCTTCGGCTGGTTCGGTATAAAAAAGATGTCTGTTATTCATACATACATATTGTTGAGGACCAATCGTCCCAATAACAGTCATGCCGCAATTGCATATTGACCTTCAGATCGTTTCCATTGATGAACATAATTTGTAGTCATTCTGCAAATGAATACTTCTATTCAAAGCATCATTATAAAAGTTGAACGGACGAATTTGTGTGTTGCTGTTGAATCATTCCCGTAAAATCTCGAGCGCTGTCGTGAACAATCTTTTGGCATATCTACTTTGTAATGATTAGATAATATTGATTACGAGTACTAACGAAGCCTTAGTACCAGTGAATATATTCTCGGGAGGTATACTCGACTACCTGATCAATGACGAAATTGAGAGTTTTCTTGATGCTGCTTCTGAGTACCGCTGTTTTGGTAAGAACTTTGTAAGACTGAATTGGCCATTGCAGAAACAAATCGCGCAATTTGATTTTTTCAGGGAAAAATAAGAATTGTGACATTGACAAATGAACCAGTATTAAAGTACTTTTTGGGCTTAATATATTATGTGGCTTCCGGAAGATTGAATTTCCGAATAATTATTTATTTATTAATATTATTAATAATAATAACAATAATATATTTGTAAAAAGCCAGAAAACGGGCTTAGACTTACGTCGTTGTAGTAGTTTTAGTGTTAGTGGTATATACCGTAAGCAAAAGAATCACATTAGTCTTTGCTTATTATTGAAAATAACATTTAAATATTGATTTTTTTACATGTCACATGATTTAATTTTGCATGTTTTAATATCCTTAAGGTACACAGGGGAAAACCTGGCAAAGTGAACACTTGGTGGATTGATTTCGCGAGGTAATATTATATAGTACATACAGTATATATACTAAGTGACATATAAATCCGAACACCCAGTTTAAATGGTTTTATTTTAAGAAAATGTTGTATAAGTACTTAATGAAGCATAATAAGCAAATGATAAAAATTTCAAAATGATTGCACTGCTTTAAAGCCCTTTGACCTAGTGACCTAATGTGTGGATGCACCCTGATGTGCTACGCATTCTCCAACGCGCCTAGGCATGCTTCTGATCAGGTGGTCAATGTCCTCCTGTGGTATCTCATTCCAGGCAACCACCAACTCCTCTCGAAGTGCTTCTAGAGTCTGAGGAGGACGTTGCAAATTGAGCAATCTCCTACCCATCATATCCCACACGTGCTCAATTGGGGATAAGTCGGGAGATCTTGGTGGCCATGGTAACAATGTGACATCATTATGTTGAAAGAAGTCTATTGTGACTCTTGCAACATGTGGTCGGGCATTATCTTGTTGGAAAGTTAGATCTGCCAGGGTGTCAAGATAGGGTAAAAGATGGGGTTCTAGAACTTCGTGGATATAACGCTGCGCGTTCATGTTACCTCTGATGACCTGAAACCATAAGCTATAGCACCCCAAACCATAACTCCAACAGTGTGATGAACATGTCTTTCAACAAAAAACTGTGGATTCCTCCTTTCACCACGTCGCCTTCTAACCCTGGCACGACCATCGTGCATGCCTAAACAAAACTAAAGACAATACTGTTCCATTCCTGATCCCAGAGTGACCGCTGTCTGCACCACTCAAGGCGATTACGTCGGTGTTCTCGAGTTAAAGGGAGGACCCAGTGTGGCCGGTATGAAAACAAGCCAAAACTTCTCATTCGTCGGTAAACACTTCGCATGCCAATAGGTCTTCCGTGTTCTGCAAACCATTCATTTGCAATGGACCTGGTAGTGGAGAAACGGTCCCTTAAGGCCAATAATCTTAGGCGGCGATCTTCACGGTCTGTTGTTCTACGGCGGCGTCCAGTGCCCCTTGCTCTTTGCGTACGGCCTTCTCGAAGCCATGCCTGACAACACCTAACCACAGTGTCTACACTTCTTTGCACTCTAACTGCAATTGCCCGAAAAGAATGTCCAGCTTCCCGAAGTCCCACTACACGGCCCCTATCAAACTCACTAAGTTGACGAAATCGTACAGGTCTCCGTACTCTAGGCATGGTAACCGATCGTAAAGGATGTCAAGAACCACAATCCGCCAACGTTGATTCTTTACTGCGGCTGAAATATTCATTTTTGGAGCGTTAGTGAAATAAAAAAAAGCTGTATAAAAACTGGAATGTCCAACTAATAAGGCTGAAAATTTTTTCACTTGTTATTTACAGTAAGATAAATACATTGACCAACTTTTATTAAAATAAAACCATTTAAACTGGGTGTTCGGATTTATATGTCACTTAGTATACGTATAATCAGGTATCAAATACTGTTGACAAAAAATGTATACCAAAAGCCCAAATAGTGCACCAATGATTCTGACAAAACCTACACCTTTTTGATGCCATTGCAGTCCATGGAAAATTGCACTAAAAGTTGTTTTGAAAGCATGGGAGGTATAGAGTCAGTCTACTTGATTCCATTTTGTTTTTGAGAAAATATTACAAAAACGTATTTGATAAACATTTTTGTTACCATTAAGATACTTATTTTGCCGGTTTTACTATTTCCTTGTGTTTGTCATGAAGACGATTTTTGAAGAAACTGGGATTACTATCTCAAACTAAATTAAATACTGTTTATATTATACACTTCTAAATGATATAGTTTATAAGTAGGTATATCCTAATGTCTCGTTAATGAGACCACGTAAACATTGTCAAACCTGCATGTGAACACACTATCACAAAATATACGCTTCCATTGCAATGTCACTATTATCACTCAATGTTCCAGTTCTACTGGACCATGGATTCTTGTGACTTCATAGCGAGACCGGACAGCTTGACGCTGATTGGTCAATTCAGACTGGTCGACTGACAGATTCAGCATAAGAGAGTGAATGTGCATCCCTATCCGATTCTTCTATGTATTCATAAAAAGTGCTCAGGTGGTCAGCCCAAATTCTCAAGGCCAGCATACTTCTGTGAGGAGTCTGGCAACGTAGCGTTCAATCTGGTAACAGTGAAGGCGCCGAGCTTGGAGGGGAGATAGGGAAACATGTCATCTGCCTTGAATACAACTTTGAACCTGCTCGGGTCATTTGGTTGTCCGTAGCAATTTTTATTGTTTTTTATTGTGCTCCAAAAATGAATGGCATAAATTTCGAGCTATGGTGTGCTATCAGGTTTTGCTTCAGACTTGGGCACAATGCAACAGAAACTCTTGCCTACGGAGAAAGTGTTTTGCCAAGAGCCCAGGTTTTTCGGTGGTTTAAGGCATTTTCAGAAGAGAGAGAGAGAGTCGATTGAAGATGAATCACGAGCCGTAAGGCCTTCATCTTCAAGAATCGATGAAAATATCGACAGACCGTCGGCTTACAGTCAGAGTGATCGGAACGTGGATGATGTTTGTACCTGTATGGCACATAAGAACATGAAAACGGAGGATTTGGAGGAACCATATACCTCTAAATTTTTCGAAAATGTGTACGATAAATCGTCTTATGACTTGGGAAACTTCACGAACAAAATACTAAATGATAATGAAAGACGTCAAATTCTTGATATTGGACCTTTACAGCCTTCAGGACCTTTTCCAGCTGGTATAAACCAGAATAATAGGTGTTTTTCAAAATCATACTACGTTTCAAGTTCAAAATATGGACCAGTTAATCGTTTTTGGTTGTGCTGCCGATCATGTGAACGTGGATGATGTTTGTACCTGTATGGCACATAAGAACATAAAAACGGAGGATTTGCAAGAACCATAGACCTCTAAATTTTTCGAAAATGTGTACGATAAATCGTCTTATGACTTGGGAAACTTCACGAAGAAAATACTAAATGATAATGAAAGACGTCAAATTCTTGATATAACACTGTCGGCGATAAAATATAAAATGTTTGCCGGGGATTCCCCAACGACGTATTGTATCGTATCATTACGTTCCTCACTCCTTTTACTTTTAACGTTGTCAGTGCATAGTGAGTATCTACTTGAGCACAACTTTATTTATATATTGCATAAATACATTAGAAAACTAAAATTATGGATAAAAAGAAGAAACCCAGTCGTGCATTTAAACGCAAACAACGCCAAAGAGAAGAAGCTAAGAAAGAATTGCCCAAAATTGACAAGTCTTTTAGTCGCGCTTCTGGAAGTACGTCAGGACAAAATATTTCTATTGATAGTGACTCAAATAATGTGATACCTGCAGTGTTGGTTGAGAATCCTACTGAAGAAGATGCAACAATTATTGCAGTTGAAGATACCTTCGCTGCCCATCATGTGAACGTGGATGATGTTTGTACCTGTATGGCACATAAGAACATGAAAACGGAGGATTTGGAGGAACCATAGACCTCTAAATTTTTCGAAAATGTGTACGATAAATCGTCTTATGACTTGGGAAACTTCACGAACAAAATACTAAACGATAATGAAAGACGTCAAATTCTTGATATGGGACCTTTACAGCCTTCAGGACCTTTTCCAGCTGATATAAACCAGAATAATAGGTGTTTTTCAAAATCATACTACGTTTCAAGTTCAAAATATGGACCAGTTAATCGTTTTTGGTTGTGCTGCCGATCATGTGAACGTGGATGATGTTTGTACCTGTATGGCACATAAGAGCATAAAAACGGAGGATTTGGAGGAACCATAGACCTCTAAATTTTTCGAAAATGTGTACGATAAATCGTCTCATGACTTGGGAAACTTCACGAAGAAAATACTAAATGATAATGAAAGACGTCAAATTCTTGATATGGGACCTTTACAGCCTTCATGCCCTTTTCCAGCTGGTATAAACCAGAATAATAGGTGTTTTTCAAAATCATACTACGTTTCAAGTTCAAAATATTGACCAGTTAATCGTTTTTAGTTGTGCTATTCCAATATACTAGACGCTGCCTATTGTCAACCCTGCTGGTTATTTGTTAATAATATAAATATAATATAAATAATGTCTGGTGTACGGGAATTCGTGATTGGAAACATTTATCAGAAAGAATTAAACAACACAGTTGTTCGAGTGGCCATACGGAAGCATGTACTGTGTATGAATTTTGAAAAAAAAAATGATACTAATACTATCGACAAGGAACTTGAAAATGAAATTCGCAAAAAAACATCCTTTTGGAAAATGGTTTTTCAAAGGTTATTTGATATCATACTTACCCTAGCAAAGAGTTCTTTGGCTTTGAGAGGACATCGAGAAGACTTAAGTCAGGAAGGATACCATGGTAATGTTTTGTCCTTTGTACAGCTTGTCGCCCGATATGTTCTCTGAGCTTACTTAGGCCAATTGATGCTAAGTTTAAGTTTTCAATGTGTCTCTTTATTTTCTTTTTGTTAATGTATTTAAGCTTTTCCTGTAATTGGGTTTTACCTGTAGGAAATATGAAATATAAATGAATAAATATGAAATAAAAATAAATAAATAAAAGATACCTACAATTTTTGTGAAATCGTTACTGTTAGTTTCGACACACTTCATCCCCTTTTGAGTCTTAAAAGTGGAACTGAGCCCTGGTTTTTGATTCAAGGGAAAAATTGAGATAGTTCTTTGACACCATAAGAAGAGCAAAGTTCTTGAACACCAAATAGATCATGGTGATCATGGATCACTAAGGATAATGATTTCACAAAAACTGTAGATAACGTCTTTTAACACTGAGACGTCGATATTACTTATCGATTACATATTAGACCTTAATCTTGAACGCTAAAGTTAACAACACCTATGTCTGGGTAGAATTTCTTTTAGACTCATGGTTTTCGAGATTATTTGTCATATCCGAATCTTTTGAACACTCTGTATTTGTTAAAATTTATCGCATTCTAAGTCCCCTATCATGCCCTGCAGGGTTATTACCTTAAAAACTATAATGTCAAAAAAACCGATAAAATGTCAACTTGTTGACTAAGTAGGTTAGTGTGGAACTAGTTCATTCCGCGCTTGCCACGAGTGAGCATGAAGTGAACGACAGCTAGTTCCACGTTGACGCAGGGAAATCTATATAATGTCATAAAAAGCCTACATAATGTCGAAAAAAAAACGAGATAGTCAACAAAAAAGAAACGACATGTCAACAAAAAAAATCGACACGTGAACAAAAAAAACCGACATAATGTCACTTTCCAAGTTACGTAATACCCTTGCTGAAAGGAATACGGCGAATTATCGGTAACCCTCTGTATAAAGTTCAAGAGTTCGTCTGTAGCTCAATTTGTGGATTACTTTCATTAGGTGCGGTGTAATAATTGAAAATCCGTATGTATGAATGAAAAAATTACAAATCTTGAGAACATTTTAAACAGGATGGTAAAATACAATTACGCGCCTAAAGGCAGCTGAAACTTCCAATGAACTATACATACACTTTATATATGATAAAAAAAGACCTAGAGAGAGAAAGAGTTTAAAAATATACTCTACTCTCTGTCTGAGATAAAACTACTAATTGAAAACAATCGCACTTGAAGTAAAACCATGTACATTTTATTTGTATAAGAAAAGTAAAGCAAAGGCAAAAAAAAGATAAAAATGTACTAAACTAATATACCCTTGTTCTAAAAAGTTATGGCAGCTCAAAAATCAAAATCATGATCAATGTAATAGAAGGTGCCATGTCGGCACTGCCCCCATATTTGAATACGTAGAATGTCCAACGAAATCAAGAAGTCTCTAAGAATTTCAATAAGCAATAATAAATGTATGACGATCTATGAAATTGTTAATGAGAATGATATTTTACCTGTTCACATCAGGTTTTTTTTTCAAGGGGATGGCTTCTACCAATTTGCAAAACCGCAACAAGATGCAACCAACTGGAGGAGAAAGGATGATGATTCTCTTCTGTTTCTATTGACTAAAAGAAAGCAGATCTTGAACGAACGTCATCAGGACACACATTAAGGCACGTGGTCCGAAGGTATATAAAAAAGAACATACCGCTGAGGGTCAAAATTCCATAAAAAAAATGGAAGACGTAGCACCCAAGCCAAAATGACTAAACTTGGCCTAATATCCCAGAGTCCGGAAAATGACGAAACGACCCCTGCACCACGACCTCAACGGAAACAGAAAAGCGAGTCACGCAGAACACGTGAAGTTCTAGAAAAAGGTATCTTGAGTGACCTTGATGAAGATATGTTATATAGGGAACCAACTAACTGAGAAAAACTACAGAGTTTTTTTGCTGATCGTCAACACCATACTGAATCGCTGAGAAAGAAAGATATAATACGAGTGAAATTATACAATCAATAAACTATTAAATTTGCCAAAAGAAAATCATTGAAAAGGCGTCTAGGAATGGGCACTCTATTATCAATGAAGAGAAATTCAAATTACGGATAAGTGATGAATAGTAAAAAAAAGTTACGTGATTTTTTCAGTCTGCTTCTAAACAAATTCAAACATTTGTATTTGTGAGTAATTCCCAACAAAAGATATAAACACATCCGCTTTGTTTCAAAATGTGTATAGTAACGTATGTTTTTCGAATATCGGAGCGCATTTGTGCTATTACCCACAAATACGAAATGCTTGAATTTGTTTAGAACAAAAAACGTAACCTTTGTTTTTCGCACAAAAATAACACTTATCTTTCGGGATGGCTCGTGATTCATATTGGCAAGGTAAACACGTGTATTTTGCTATTAAATGCTCTTTGAACGAACCCTGTATATTGTTCAATAAACTAGTTGTGATGGCCGTGTTTTGTGATAAACAATTAGAGATTCTCAAGCAACCAATGTACTCCGATTTTATTTTTGTTATAAGAAGTATGAATCCTACGGATTTGAAGGATTTCAAGTAGTTGCGTGAAATTATCGTCGCATTACCGACAAGTGCCAAAACCTGCATTTTGCCTCGTTTTTCGTCTATAACTTTTTGCTATTTGTCGGATCTTTTTACATGGTCTCATTGTGTAGGTCTCATAAATATCTAAAAATCTTATATGAAAAGTTTTTTCGTGCCTGTCAACACTTTCGACTGAATCCCAAAAAACACGTTTTCTCATTCTTTGTTGTCAAATAAAAGGTTTTCCCACAAAAATTGGTGTACCCGTTTTATGCGTCCATGTTTTAAACAACTTGCACCAATAAAACCAGAATTTACAATTATTTCGGGAAATTTGCTAACATGATTAGACTAATAACTATATTGCAGTATATGGCCCATCTAGAAATATTGCAATATTGTCTGCAATGTGTAGATACATACATTTGTCGATATGATTTATAATACCGAAACCATATCACTCCTTATCTGAATAACTACAACATATTAAACATGACGAATCTCAAAAAATATCACATGTATTCTTTTATCTATAGGGTTATAAAAACAGGTCAACCGCCCTATTTAAGAGAAAGATTTGTGCCTTTGCCTGGTCCCCAGAGGAGCAGAAATAATCTCAATCGTACCTAGGCATAGAACGCGTTCCTTCCGACTATCGTTTGCTTATGTGGCGGTTCACTTATAGAATAATTTACGAACTTCACTTAAAAGCTCATCGCCAAAAACATTTTCAAAACTGACAAAAACGTTGTTACAGAATCACCAGCTACTTTAGCAGCGTTTGTGTGAGCAAAAATATCGTTTTTACATTCCTATTCGCTGACAAGTTGTAAAGATTTGTTCTTCGCGTCCGTTGCCAGCTCCCGGGGGTTCTCTCTTCGTTTTTGCCTTTTTGTGTTTCACCGCCTCTTCATTTGCCCCTTTATTGTTTTTTTTTATTTTGTTTAAGGACTTTTAGGGTGTTCAGGACTACTCTTTGTATTAAAGGGTCCAATGTATCGGTTTTATAATCGAGAGACTGTCCTTTTTCGTCATTGCTCTATATGTAGAATTCCTTTGTTTATGATGTTTATTCATGATGAAATAAATATTTTGAATTTGAAATGAGGGAATCGGATAACCGAGAGAAGGTTTCGTGATTATCTTACCTTTCGGGAAACTGTATTTCTAAACGGTGATAGTACAGCCGCTCCCGAGAAAAAGTACAGAAGTCAAACTTTCTCATAGTGATTCTACTTTTTCTTTTTCAAAATAGGGATCCAGAATGTCTAACGAAACTAATGCAGTTAAAATATTGTCCACTTAGAAGCGCCATAAGTAAAGCAAAAGCAATTTTTATCAAATACTGAGTGACCAATACATCAATATGAATATTGATTCATCTAAACATCAAAGCTTGGGCACATCTAATTGTTTGGCCAAAAGCAAGTCATCCTCGACCAATAATATGAGTACTTCATCGTCAATTTGGTATCTCTTATCTTCTAGGAACTCGACAAATCTGTCGATGTAAGCACGTAGTTTTTGGTTGATGAACAACATGAATTTGTGAAGTCCAAGCCTGACCAGCAGGCTAGCAAATGTGTTATTATTCACCAAAGCAGCACGAAGATCAGTTAGCAGCCCTGGGGTTAGCCCTTTACAAATCGAAGAAATTAAATCAGATAAATTAAAAAGAGGCGACGTTAATAATGGATAGTGCTTCCGATAGTCGTTTTACTTCTCACGCCACTGGCGAGAAAGTATTTGGGAAAAATTTCGATGAGATATTTCGTTTTTTTGATCGAAAACCAAGTCACTCATTTCCATCTGTATGTTTACTAATCCTTGCTCCGTCTATAACTCGCAAAGTATTGCTCGAATTTTAATGAAATTTCGAAACACTGATACTACCATGGCAACAAGGAAAATGCTTTGTATTCATTGAAAATAGTTCCACTGGCTGTAAAGCTATGGATAAAAAACGAAAAAATAAAAAGCATCCAAATGTTTGTCGTTTCAGAAGCTCCGGATCGTTTTTAGAAGTTTTGTTTTGTAGGGATGAAAAATTTGGAGTTTATGGGATGGAGGAAGGTATATCGCAGAATTTTTACTAACACGGAGTCATTAAAAGTACCGTATTTCACTTTAGTTAGAAGTTTACTTGAATGTAGTTCATCTGGTCTCCTGGAATTGTCCAGTTTTTGGAAAGGGGTCAAACCATCACTGCTAACTTGTATTGTGAGCAGCTTCAACGAGTACAAGCAGCACTCATTCAGAAATAGCCTTCTTTGATCAATCGGAAGAAGGTGATAGTCTTGCAGGATAACGCCAAGCATCATACCGCAAAAGTGACCCGATAAAAAATTTCTGAACTCGGCTGGGAAACGTTACCGCACCCGACATTTCGCCCCCAGTAATTATCACCTTTCTTTGTTTCTTGACAACTGTATGAGGCACCCACAGTTCACAACTCGAGATGGTGTAATAAATGCAGTCCGCCAATTTTTTTACTCCAAATCCAGGGAGTTCTACAATACCGGCATACAAAAATTGGATCCACGTTGGTAAAAGGTCATTGAATGTGGTGGTAATTACTTCGACGAATAAATAGTGTCTTATTGTTTCTCAATAAAAAATTATATTTTTCTACTAAAAACCGCACTAACTTATTTGGTTACCTGATATTTCTACAAAAAGCTTTTGCAAATATTATGCTAGCAACCACTTCATATGGAATAGCGAAATGCTTTAACAAGTTAGATATCTCTTTGACTTTAGTATGAGTAAACAGTGAATATTGTCATATTTAAAAACTGCCCAGTGACGTCAACCTGTGTTAGTTTTTCGGTACCTTTTAATATGCATCTTTATGTATTTTAGGAGTAGAATTAACGTTGAGAAATATATTAATTTGCGGGTGCTAGTTATGCACTGATAGGACTGGATTTCCGATATACACATATAGAGTTTTTTAGTGTCATCAATCAAGGATACTTTTTTGTACGTGTGTTTTTGTTTTTCATTACTTGTATAGTTTCTCCCTTAATTGAATCTTGTATCTGTTGAGAAAAATATATGAATGAAATAAAAATACGTATACTCACCCTCGCATTGCTCGTATACTGTAGCAAGTTATCAAAAAATCTAGAATAGCATCACCTAGAAATTCTAGACGCTCATATGATCGTGTTAATTGATTTGGCGTATATGAGGCATGTGTAAATGTTAGAATATATCCTTTGTTTTTAAACGAGTAACCTATTGAAGAACCAGTTGATAAAATGTATTCTCATGTAAATACATACCAGCTTGTAACGAAGTCACGCAGTGTTCTTGAAGTACTTGCCTAATATTTCTTCTACCTTCTGCCAACAGGGCATATATAGAGAAAGGTCATCAAGTGTGGCATTTTTAACCAAAAATGGATGTTCTGGCTGGCGCATCAATATCGCTGACAGACCATCGGGTATAATTCCCATCCACTCGACGAACTTCATTCCACCGATAAATAGATAATTTATGACGGAACGTAGGGACTGTTCTCATCGGAAGCAACTGGCGCAACCTGACGGTGACATGACTCGCTACATGTAAGTTATGATGCAGAAAAGGATGCACGTGGAAGAAGAAAATGCTGAGGAAAGCTTCCAAGCCGAGATGATACATAGAGGTTCTTGATGCTTTCCATAACATTATTACTCGTTTTATTCGCCGTGTTGTACATTTATCCATTATAAAATATATCAAGTATATTGTATTGTCTTGTAAAAGTAAAAATAAAGTTTTTTAAAAACCCGAACGGCCATATCGGCAACATAACTGGCGCAGTCATCCAGTAGGATCTAACGCAGTTTTCCGAAAATTCGTGGTATCGTGACCGGTTTCGTGAAAACGTGGGTATCGTCCCTTCGGCGTTCGACCTACAGCAACGAACGAGAATCCACAGTCCAAGAGCGAGAAGTTGGCTCCTTGCTTCTGCCTGCCGCCTTCCAAGTAGATAGGAGTAGAAGGTAAGAGCCAAAATTCCTTTTCGCCCCATTCAAATTGATTTCCCTGTATAGGAGATCTTATTCGAAAAGTTGTGATTTTATGTCATTATCAGACATTATCAACGAGTTAAATAACTTAAGAATTAATAATACTGATTCAGAATCAGAATCCGAAGAAATGGCATTCCCAGAAAATAGCTTACAAATGTTACGCATGTTTGTAGATACAATACCAAATTTTGATGGTAATTTCAATACACTACCAAGCTTCATTTCATCATGTGATTATCTATTCGACACATTCAACACTTCTGAAGAAACGATTAAGAGATACTTATTGAGAGTGGTACAGACTAAATTAGTTGGTAGGGCTCAACTTTTAGTTGGCTGTAAAACAGAATTAAATAGCTGGTCTTTAATAAAAAATGCTTTAGAGCAGTGTTTTGGTGATAATAGAAGTTTAGAATGCTTGGAACAAGATCTATTTCTAGCCTCACCAAATAGAAATGAGTCACCCTTAGATTTTGGAAAAAGACTTCAAATTTTAAGGAGTACTCTTGCACAGAAATTGAGTATTTCAGACTCAACGCCCGAAGTAAAAGTCGCAATGATGAAGCAGTACGACGGTATCTGTTTGAGAGCTTTTGTGCGCGGATTATCAGGACCTTTACAAACGGTTATTCGTTTGAAAAATCCTTCATCTCTAGAAGAAGCAATGGCATATACTCGTATTATTGAGGAAGAAAATTTCCAGTATACGCAAAACATTTTCAAATTCCCAAATCACTCAAAGACTCCATGTAGTAACACACAAAATTCATATTCCAAACCACAGACAAAGTTTGGACATTCAAATAACAATTACCGTAATCAGGCACCAAATCAGAATTTTCATTATCAAAAATTTCAAGCTCCTCATCAGTCGAATTTTCAACAAAGTTATCGACCTCCACAAACTTTTCCAGCTGACAGAAACCGGAATAATTTCCCAAGTCAGCCGATAAACATCCAAAGTCGAAATAATAATTTTCAAAAACGCTATCCAACAAATCAAGAAGTTTTCGGACCACCCAGAAACACGAACGTCTTCAAGCCCAGGGGAACAGTACCGCATAATTCCCCACAGCCTATGTCAGTTTCAACCAGAAATACTTATAAACCGAACTATCCCCAAAGGCAAAATCATTTCCAGCCCTCGGGACCCAGAAATTTCATTGCGGAAGAACTATATCAAATAGATGACACGCAAAACGACGAAAGATACGAAACCGAACAACCCGAAACAACCAGAATTCCAAAACCATTTTCAAAAACTCAAAATGTTGAAGCTCAACATGCTTCTGCCTCTTCGTCCACAAATTATGAATCAGATCCAAATTTTTATTACAAGGGCCAAGGCACCCACAAAACATAATCGAAATCCATTCCGATCTTGACAACTCTTTACCCTACATCAAAATTCAAAATCCACCCTTAAAGTTACTCATTGACACAGGATGTTCACATTCGATGATACGCCCTAGAATAGTAGAAAAATACTTTCCAGAACGTATTTACCATTCAGTTTCAAGATTAAAGACAGGCGTAGGAGAAAAAGAAGTTCAATTCAAAGCCGATCTGCCATCATTCCCAGAATTTGAATCAGATGATTTTATCACTTTCATTTTATTTGATTTCCATCCATTTTTTGACGGCATATTAGGATTAAAACAATTACTACGTTTAAATCTCAACATAGACCTTACTAATCGACTTTTAATTAGTGAGTCATTGCGTATTCCCATATTTTTCCGTGAACTTGACACTGAACCATACAGCATAACGATAAATTCACACGAGGTAGCTCTTATCAAAGTTCCTGTGAGCATTAACAATAGCCCCGTTATAATCCCTGAAGGTGAAATAAATGGCTTATATTTCCCTGAGACCTTGACTATTTCGAATGAATGGTTTGCTTATACAGAAGTTTCTAACCATTCAGATGAACAAATAACGATAGATTTTTCAAATCCGTTAGACGTAATTGAATATTCTAAAGAAGTTAGTGATAACTTTTATATTTTTCATATTGAGGATATTATTGGTGAACTAAAACATAGTGACGAAAGCATACAGAAAGTATCGAAATTAATTAGGACTGATCATTTGAACAGTGAGGAAAAACAGACTTTATTAAAAGTTTGCCATGAGTTTAGGGATATATTTTACAATGAAAACGAAAAGCTAACGTTCACTAATATTATTAAACATGAAATAAAAACTACTGATGAAATTCCAGTACATACAAAAAATTATCGTTATCCCTTTGTTCATAAAGAGGAAGTTCAAAGACAGATAAATAAAATGTTAGACGATGGAATTATACGTCCTAGTCAAAGTCCTTATAGCTCACCTATCTGGATCGTTAGTAAGAAGATGGATGCTAGTGGGAAACAAAAATGGAGAATAGTAACAGATTTTCGAAAGCTGAACGAAAAAACAATAAGTGATCGATATCCATTACCTAATATTAACGATATATTGGACAAGTTAGGTAGATGTCAATACTTCAGTACTTTAGATTTAGCTTCCGGATTTCATCAAATAGAGATGCATCCAAACTCTATCGAAAAAACCGCTTTTAGTGTAGAACATGGACATTACGAGTATACCCGCTTACCATATGGTTTGAAAAATGCCCCAAGTACATTTCAGAGAGTAGTTGACAATGTTTTACAAGGATTACAAGGCAAAGTTTGTTTAGTATATATGGACGATATTATAATTTTTTCCACTAGTCTTGAAGAACATATTGCAAATTTGAAACTAGTATTTCGGAGACTAAGGGACACACAATTGAAAATTCAACCAGTCAAATGTGAATTTTTATGCAAAGAAGTTGAATATTTAGGACACGTAGTTACTTGTGATGGTGTAAAACCGAATCCCAAAAAGATACAAGCAAGAACACAATTCCCAATTCCAAAAACAGTCAAAGAAATCAAATCGTTCCTAGGTCTTTTAGGTTATTATAGACGCTTTATCGAAAATTTTGCCAAATTAACAAAACCACTTACGAAATGTCTTAAGAAAGGATCAAAAGTTGAACATAATGCAGAATTTATCAAAGCTTTTGAAACTTGCAAAAATATTCTAACCAACAAACCTATTTTACAATACCCAGATTTTGAAAAGCCTTTTATTTTGACTACTGATGCCTCAAATTACGCAATAGGTTGTATTCTTAGCCAAGGAAAAGTAGGACAGGATCGACCGATTGCCTATGCATCACGAACTCTAAATCCAGCAGAATGTAATTATAGCACAATAGAAAAAGAATTATTAGCAGTAGTATATGGTGTGAAATACTTCAAACCATATCTATGGGGACGTGAGTTTACCATAGTTAGCGACCACAAACCCCTCGAATATTTGTTTAACATGAAAGAACATAACCCCAGACTTTTACGTTGGAAACTGTTTCTTGAACAGTTCAATTACAAAATTCAATATAAACCTGGAAAAGTAAATAGCAATGTTAATGCTTTATCTCGCGTAGAACTTAACGCCATCCGAGATGAAACGGATCAATCAATAATTGCAAATCCTGGAGATTCTGATGAAGATGTCCTTCAGTTTCTACAAGACGATGATAAACCCGAAATAAATATTGAAGACTTACAAGAACTAGAGGAATTTCTCATCCCTGAAGTTCCTGATAACTCTAACAAAATACAAATAATTTCAGATATCCAAATTGTACCCCCTCAGCCAAGTGATGACAGTATTACAGTCCATACAGCAGTAGAAAACCCCATATTAGAGATACCCTTCACTGAATATGTTAACTAACAAATTTTCTAATCAGATAATTATAGAACAGAAATCATCCTATCGATATCATATTGTAAGGAAAATGTTAATAAAATACAGTTACAGCTTAGCGATAACATAGGGGAAGAAATCATAAAGTTTTTCAAAGACTATGTTGATCCAAACAAAGTATATTGTAATTTTTGTCAAAGGTTCAGAAATTGAAGATTTAAATATCCAGATTAGCAAAATACTACCATTGTATTTCAAAAACCACGCATATAAACTTTATTTTTCCAATCAGCTTGTTAGAGATATTTCAGACAAAAACAGACAAAAAGAATTAATCTCTCATCATCATGAAACAAAGACTTGTCACAGAGGAATTAACAAAACGTTACTTTCCCTTAAAAAACTATACTACTGGAAGAATATGCAAAAAATGGTAACAGAATACATAAATAATTGTGAGTTATGTCAAGTAGCAAAGTATGACAGACATCCACCAAAAATAAAATTTTCACTTACACCAACGCCAAAGCAACCCCTAGAAGTCTTACATATGGACACTTTCCAATTTTCTAACACAAAATTTCTTACTGTTATTGATTCATTTTCAAAATATGCACAAGCCTATCATTTAGATCCAGTTTGTACAGCCACAACAGTGTATGAAAATATTTTGATATTTGTGAATCATCACGGCATTCCTCAATCAGTTACTACTGATAACGGAAGAGAATTCAATAATTCCTTATTTACTGAATTTTGTAAATTACACTAAATCCAGATTCACTTTACTACACCATGTAATTCGAATAGCAACAGTCCCATAGAACGATTAAATTCAACCCTGCTAGAACTCTTAAGAATTCTAAAAATTAAATTTCCAAAATTATGTCCAAAAGAACTAATGCAAAATGCAATTTTGGCATATAACACGTCAATTCACAGTGTTACAAAACAACGACCATTCGACCTTATAAATGGCCGCTTAGATGTCCTAGATCCGTTTGACCTATCAGATGAGATCATTGTTAGCCAATTCATTGATGATAGACGTGAAAGACTAAAATTCATTTACAACAATATACACCAAGCAACAGACGCTCATAAAAAGAATATTATAGAAAAGCGTAATAAAACTAGAGAAGATCCATCCAAATTCCCCCAAGGTTCGAAAGCATATGTCAAAGATAAAACCGCTTCTTGGAGTAAATTAAAACCAAGATTCACAAAAACTGAAGTTAAGAAAGATTTAGGTACAAAAGTACGGACTATCAATAAACGCAAAGGTTTAGTACACAAATCTCAAATTCAAAAACCTAAAGCTTATTCTTCTTTTCCGCAGGATCATGAATCTGGAAATCAAGAAGGTTCGGATAGTCATTCTACCCCTTCTACTAGTCGCGACAACCAAAGCCAACAATGACGCAGTTGTCACACCCTTAAAAGCCCCGCTTTTCCCTTATTCGCTAGGTAACGCTAGTATTATAGAATCGTATCATACTTTTATTCACTTTGTAGAAACTACTTCAATAACAAGACCGATTAAGAATATCCAAAATTATTACGAAAAACTCCAAAATACTCTCAAGCCTTTAAATGCTGATCATTCAGACTTGCACTTTGGATTATCAAATCTCCTTAAGCATACGAAATTTCTGATACAAGAAGCTACGAAAAAATTAGATAACATTGTTCCACGTATTCGTCAGAAACGAGGATTGATTAATCTCGTAGGAAAAACTTCAAAGTTTCTTTTTGGTACAATGGACTCAGATGACGAAATCAAAATTAATAATGCACTTCATGAATTACAAAAGAACGCAAATTCTGTGCATAGTCAACTAAAACTTCAGACCACTCTAACTAAAGAATTGATAGATAATTACAATTCTACAATTTCATTATTAAGCTCTAATCAGGTACAGATCAAAACGAAATTGTATCATCTGCAAAATGCGATGAATGGAACTGTAGGAAGCTTGACAGCTTATCTTCACGCTGAAAATATTTTACAGCAACTTAATCTAAATTGTCAAAATTTGATTACATTTTTAGACAATTTGGAGGACGCTATAATGTTTTCAAAATTGAACACTTTACATAGTTCTATCATATCAGTTTCAGACTTAGAGAAAAACATAAAGTATTTAGTAAAATTATATGGTAAAAAGAAAGTACCAAACTTTCAAAATTTACAATCATACTATTTAGTAGCTGATCCACAAATTACATTTACTGATAATAAAATCTTGTTTTCTATAAGATTTCCTATATTATCTGATGAAAAATTCCAATTTTTCCGTCTATACCCAGTTCCAATTAGAAATTCAACCATTATTCCAACCCATCCCTTTTTGGCTCTTGGAACAAGTCATCAACAATTTGAAGAAGAAGAATGTCCAGAAATTGAAAACGCCTACTTCTGCAAGAATCGACAAGAACCCATTCAAGGTTGTCTAAACGAGTTACTGAAGAAAGCAGAATTTTCAAAATGCCAATTCACAAGGTTACAAGTATCCAGTCCTATTGTTGAAGCAATATCAGCAAAACACATTTTGGTCATACCCGCTGATCAGCCGATCACAGCAGTCAAGTTGTGTGGTACTCAACAAC